ATAGAGTTTTGCATTGGACTACCTTGAATGAGGTTAATGTATTCACACTAGGCGGTTATGATAATGGAATGAGCCCTCCAAATCATTGTTCCCCGCCCTTCGGAATGAGACCCTGCCCTATTGGTAACTCATCAACCGAGCCTTACATAGCTGGTCATAATTTACTGCTCGCGCATTCAGCTGTGGTGAGACTCTACAGGAGAAAATACAAGGTATCATCTATAAACATCGCGATTACTATTTACTAGTGTACTAAATCCCCAAAAGTTTGCTAAAAGTGTGTACGCGCTCCAATGCAGTCAACTCAACATGGTTTTGTTGGATTAAATCTCTTTGCGTTTTGGTCTCTTCCTTATACAAATAAAACAGCTGATGTAATCGCAGCACAACGAGCTAATGATTTTTACCTCGGCTGGTAAGATGAAGAAGTTTTTAGCTTATTTACATCTCGACTGTCTCAAACATTTACGTCTAATGACTTCCCTATCCTCAATAAAGGTTTGTGAATCCATTGATATTTGGAGACTATCCCGATATAATGAAGAAGAATGCTGGTTCTAGATTGCCCAAATTCACGAAACAAGAATCTAAGCAAGTTAAAGGTGCTGTAGATTTCATAGCCCTGAATCATTATTTGACAGTACGCGTTAAAGACAGCTCCAACAGCCTGGAAAATGATATCAGAGACTTCACTGCCGATTCCGCATTTGAATTTATATGTAAGAATGCATGACTAATGCATCGATCAAAATAAACATAACGTGATCCATTTAATTGACAATAGAAGATAATTTTCAGCTTAAATTTGGTAGAGTGAACCAACGCCAGTTTCTTTTGGTTTGATCTCAAAAATTAATGCTTCTATCTCTTTATTTATGTAGTGAAAAATGGCGGTACACTTCCAGGCCAGGTGAGGCTCGCGACATTTTTCAATTCTACGGTGCACTTTGCCTTGTTTATATGTTTATTTATTTTTCGATTGACAATCTGTTCCGTATCAGTATTCAGCGACAGAACCAGGTCTGCAAGGAGTACTAGAATATTTCAAACAAGCTTATGGAAATCCACCTATGTATATTCATGAAAATGGTTCCTTCCTCTCTCTCGTTCCTCTCATTCACACACAAACAAGCCCGATCGTGTTGTTTTATAAAAAGCCTGGTGTTGTTTGTTTTGTCAGGTCAAATGACACCACGAAATGCAACGTTAAATGACACAACTCGGATAGAATATCTGCAAGCTTATATTGGAAATTTGCTTGATGCTGTGAGGTAATACCCCCTCTATCTTCACATTACACAATTTTGTTATTTAATGAGAGACGCGAAGGGGCTCATCAAAAGTACTCCCTTGACTTCTTTGTATGTTTACTTCTTTATATTTTGAATCTCCTAGCTCTCGACACTCTAGAGACGTGACACATTTTACTGATTTGTTATTTCTAGGAATGGATCAAATGTGAAAGGCTACTTCACATGGTCATTTTTAGACTGTTTTGAGTTATTCAACGCGTATGAATCCGCGTTTGGCTTATACTATGTGGATTTGAATGACAAAGAGTTAACAAGATATCCAAAGGTTTCTGCACATTGGTACTCTAATTTCTTGAAGGGAAAAAGCTACAAACATAGTGATAAGTTACTACTTCATTCTTCTCAATGAGTATCTTTTTTCTTCCTCAAAATTTGTGTTTACAATCCCAGTTAGGGATTTCAAAAATTTCTCTATTGCAAACTTTTGCAAATAAGATTAATCACGTATCCTTGTACAAGGATACATAGACACTATATTTTTTATTTTTCGAATTTTAGCCCGATGTCCAAAAGCAGGAATTTGCCCTGACTACATTGCAAACCTTATATATGCATCATCCTTGGACGTTATGGTTAGCGAGATGTCAATACACCATCAGCGACGATGTATCGTGCTATATATATATTGTATCGTATTGTATTGTTATAATGAATACAATATATGCATAGATTGTATCATTCTCCATTACGTTCCATAATTTGAATTATAAACTTAAAAGAGAACTTAGAAGATGCTACGAAAAGATAGGGTAAAAGGTAAAAGATAAAATATAAAGCGTTGCACTGAGAATGCTCCAATTTGAATCCCTCAACTTCAATAAAGTATTACACAGAAAATCTAAGTCATCTTAGGTGAAATTGCTTAATAAGTAAAGGGAAAAGAAGAAAAAAGGATATAGGGGTAGGAGAAAGTTTGATTGGATTGGAATTTAACTTTATCTAATAGAAAGATGTCACATAATAATTTTTTGTAAGTGGAAGATCCAAACTGCGAGGCTCAAAGTTGAATTATCATTTTACCCTTATATTAAAATAATTAAACAAATATTATAAAATATAATTAAATATTTAATAAATAACTCATTTAGATTGGTGCATGAATCAAGTTTACTTTATTAATTAATTACTCTATTGTATAAGTATTTGAAAAGTTTTTTCATTATACAAATTTGATATGGACTAAAATCATTATTAATTGCCTAGCATTTCTATAAATTGCTATTTCTATAAATTGCCTAGCATGATCTTCATGGAAATGACAAGACTCGATGAGAGATTATCATGCAAAAATGAATGAACTTTGCTGATCATTTTGTATGTGCAGTAATTTTCTTTTTCTTTTTATCCGCTTCTTTCTTTCCTTCCTAAGTATTATATATTTCCTTTTTAAATATGTTGATGTACTTTCTTACGATTTCATTATTTTATTGGAATATTGTGTCCTCCTACATGAAGAAAATAGCAATATACAACAATTCATGTTCTACTATGTTTCTTAAAATTATTATTTACGAGTAGTCTATGTGTGATTTTGAGGTTGTATTTTATCGCTTTTGCTGTGTCATTTAAGTTATATAAGGAATTCCTAAACCAAGAGTTAAGTAAGAATGACAAGTTTTTCCTTACCCAAAATTGAATACCCGCTTAGAACACCAAACTAGATTATATTTGTTGAGAAGTGCAAAATCGCATCCATACGATTCTCATTTTGTATCGGGATTAATTGGATCATTTCTTTATGGATTCAAATCCCAAACTCTTCGAGTTGTATTTTCGAGGACCCCCCTCCTACCCGCTACCCCGGCTCTCAAGGCTCCGCACCCCGAGGACCCCCCTCCTACTCGCTACCCCGAGGACCCCCCCTCCTACCCGCTACCCCGGCCCTCGAGGCTCCGCGGCTTCGACGGACCCCCCCTCAACCCGCTACCCC